AAATCATGTGTCACGCCTTGGGAATGCAGGAAGAGGCACTGTATCTTACATTCACTACTATATGTAATGAATTTATTGAACTGATGACTAAGAAGGTCCTCAATAACATCATAGCAGTTTGTGAAAACTGCAAAATACTTTGCAATAAGTGTAGATTCAACACCAGATATTTCCAGTGAAGCCTGTAGAGCGCTTTTAAAATTCATTCCTTTTTCCCAGCCATGATGGAGAAACAATGAGAATGTAGTACTGGATACTCTGCTTGAACATGATCTCTCTATTATGGATTGCCGTGGCCAGAGCTACAACAATGCAAGTAACATGTGGGGTAAATTATAATGGATTGCAAGCCCGTATCAAGCAAATTAACCCACTTGCTGAATATGCCTGCTCAGCACATTCTCTTAAACCCCTTCAGGGTCCAAGGCCAAAATCTCCAGTGTCCAAGAAATTTTGAAAAAAAAAAAAAAATTATTTTTCTTACAGCTTTAAAGAGTATATTTTTGTGAAGGAAATAAGACAAAAAAAAGTTTTTTCTGATCAGTACTTACCGAGATACAGTGGCGGGAAGTTAACCCAAAATGACCAAGTGGCGGCAACATCGGTGACTTCCACAAAATCCCATTTTTTTTTTTTAAATGTTTTTTTTATACTTTTTTCTTTCTTTTCAATTTTTTTTTCTTTTTCTAATAACATTTGTGGCCTGTGAGACCAATATAATGTTATTGTATAATTTGGACACTCATTGTATTCAACAAACTGCACTAATTTGGTTATCATTATATTGCTTACAAAACTTGTTTACAAGTTTATTGTAAACAAAATGATGAAAATATTAGTGCAGTTATTGTGTGAATACAACGGTACCATATGGTACAAGGGGTGCCATATGGTACAATATGACACAATGGCACATGATACAATGGTACCATATGATAAAAATGGTACCACATGGTAAAAATGGAAACCATTTGGTACAATGGTACCATATAGTAGAATGGTGCCATAGGGTGAAATGGTACCATGGGTGCAATGGTACCATATGGTACAATAGCATCATATGATACAATGGTCCCAATGGCACAATGGCACATGATACAATGGTACCTATGATACAATGGTCCCACATGGTAGAAGGGCACCATTTGGTAAATGATACCATATGATACAATGGTCCCATATGGTGCAATGGTACCTTATGGTACCTATGGTCCCAAATTATGTGAAACAGTACCATAGGGTACTTGTACCATACAGTACAATGAAACCATTGGTTCTTTGTACCATATGGTACTGTTGTATTCAAAAACACTAATATTTTCATTATTATTTTGGTTACAATAGTTGTTTACAACAAAAATATGCAAAAATGTTGTTTTTAGTAATGTTCTATTATATATTTACAAGTGTACAGGAACTTTACGTGTTCCTTGAGGTGGATGACAAAGCACTTTGTCTCGGAAACTGCGGAGTCACTAGCTAACTTGCGTCGCCACTCACTCAGTCTTGGCTGGTGTCTCATGCCACCAACCCCTATTGACCATATGGTACACGGTATATGTTCCCGGGTACCATATGGTACATTGTACTATATGGTAAAGGGTACCATGCAGTACTGGATAACATATGGTGCAGGGTACCATATGGTACAGGGTTACCATAGGTACAGGGTAACATATGGTGCAGGGTACAATATGGTGTGGGTACCATATGGTGCAGGGTACCATATGGTACAGGGTACCATATGGTACAGGGTACCATATGGTACAGGGTACCATATGGTACAGATACAGGGATAACTATAGAAATATAGTCACCCTGACTTTTTTGTGTTATCCTAGGATTTTATACATATGCTACTATGTATGATAACTATGAAAATTGTATTTCTGTAAAACCTGAATAAACTTACTCAAGTGAAATGTGGCATCATAAGTAAGTTTTTTTAGTTATACACAAATAAAGTTACATAGAATATCATACTTAGCAGCATATGTTTCGAGAACCTAGGATAACCCAAAAAAGTCACAGATTTATTTCCATTAGGGTCCCTGTACCCTGTACCATATGGTACAATGTACTAATATGGTACAATTACTATACAAAACTTGTCCCCATATGGTACCATTGTACCATATACCATTGTCCCTTTATACCATTGTATGACAGGGCACCATTGTATCATATGGACCAGTGTACCCATGGTACCATTGTACCATATGGACCTTTGTACCATAGGGCAAATGGTCCATATGGTTCAAAACCATGAATTCGTCTTCAGCTCCACCTTCCATCAGTCTTAGAACTGTAAGTTGTGAAGAGGGAGAGTCAAATTCACCCGGAGAGTGATTTGGGGAGTGAGAGCATCTTGCCGCCAGGCACTGTGAACAAAGCTACTTTGCCAGCGTTCCCACAATGCCAAGTGGGCGTCCAGATTTTTTCTATGTGTGCACACTGACCACCAGACCATTCTCTTAGATGAGGCGTACCACCTTCTCATGCTAAATTTTAGGGTGCTAGAATTTTGGCATAGATCTACGGTTTGGACCCTGAATGTAAACCCCGTAGATCAAACGGGACGGCCCCTGAAAGGGTTAATCTTTTTGGGGTCATGTGCTGGGGAAAGTGTTGTGTCGCTTCAGTTTCATTTTTGGACTTTTAAAAGCACTCTTAATTTTTTCTCTGCTTCAACGCATCGGTGGAGTATCCTCAAGTCAACCATTCATGGAGATGTCATCAAATCATTATCAATAACAAGGTGGTCAGCGCAGCATGATGCAACACATCTTTGAAAGACAGCTTTGCGAAATACGTTCTGCTTTGATCCAAATAGCAGAGGATGAAGACCAGACAGCAACTACAAGAAGCAAAGCAGCCAGCTTAGCATCAAAATTGGAAGATTTTTGAATTGGCCTACTCTGTGTGCTTTGGGACTGTATACTGGAACGGTTAAATGCCATGAACAAGACACTTCAGGAAATTGAAATTGAAATGGCTGCTTGTGCTAACCTCTATGCAGGCTTAGTGGAATTTGTAAGCTCACTTCGCAATGATAAGCTTTTGAAATGTTTGAAGAGAAAGGGTAAACTGCTGGTGAAAGACTACAGTTAACCCGGGGTGATCATCAGCGGTCAAGGAAAAGGAAACGCAATTTTGAAGAGCCAGACAATGGGAAAATTTTGTTGCTACCAAGGGAGAAATGTAAGACAGCTACATACTTCGTCATTCTGGATTTCACTGATTACAGAATTGGTGAAAAGAAATCTACAAGAATTCAATGACAAGTTTGGATTTTTGTTCAAAATTACTACTATGCCAGATGCAAATTGAGAGAAGCTGCATTAAAGTTGCAACAACACCTTTCAACACATTTGTTGAAGAAAAAGTTCATTTTCTGGGTATAAAGAATCAGATTAAAGCTCTACCTGAAAATGTGGGACCTCAGCTGCTTTGAAATGTTTAAGAAATGCAGGTATCTCAGAAACCTTCCCTAATGTTGACATAGTGTATCCCCCTTTACCTAACACTTCCAGCTACTAACTGTGAAGGAGAACGTTCATTTTCTGTTTTGAAAAAAGTGAAAAACCAGCTCCGTTCAACAATGTGCCAAGACAAATTGTGTAACCTAGCCTTGTTGACCATTGAGTCTGATCTAACAAGAAATATTGATTTTCGAATATAATTGATGATTTTGCCAATATGAAATCCAGAAAAAGTTTATTTAAGAAATGCCTGTGAATTATAAACAATTCTTTACTTTCTTGAGTTTATATGATTTGATAAGTCTTATGCATGATGCAATGATAACAATAATGGTCAGTGATTTATAAAGGGAATAATAGTGCTGTAGTGGTTATGCTGAATATAATAGGTGCATGATGTCCCCTACTTTAATAGCCTAATCTAGTAATACTATGCTGTCTTGAGTTTTTTTCTCTTTAAAATGCATGAATTTAACAAGATAGTTATAATGGCTGTTGGTAAATGGTTTTGGCTGTCTTGATGTACTTTCCCTATTAAATTTAATCTAAATAGCCAGAATGTATTTAATTAGACCTTAAACAGGCTCACACCGACCCCCCCCACCCCGAAGCTGGAAGGGGTTCGCTTCGCTTACCCGTAACTCAAAGGGGCCCCGCCAATCTGAATAGCCTAGGGCCCGGAGACTTCTTAATCCGGCCCTGCCCCTACCCACTCTAAACCCTCCTTGCTTATCCACAAAAATTTTACGTCTGTCTTACCTCTAATTCTTTCAATAATTTAAACCCCCCCGTACACTTTCCTGGAATACTCAGTAAACTTATTCCTCTATAATATTTACAAACTCTTTTGTCCCCCTTCCCTTTATATAAAGGGACTATACATGCTCTCCGCCAATCTCTAGGTACCTTCCCCTCTTTCATACATTTATTAAACAAAAATACCAACCACTCCCAAAACTTAGTCCCCCCCTGCTTTTAACATTTCTGTCATGATCCCTTCAGTTCCAGCTGCTTTACCCCTTTCATTCTATGTAATGCGTCACGCACTCATAAACTTCAGGTGACTAAAAGTTTTTTTCCACACTGTCACTCATCTTGCTTCTGTGCACTTTTTTTTTCTGCACAAAATGGAAAAGAAAATTTTTGGTATGATTGTTACCACTCTCTTAGTATCTTGTTCATACAAGAAATGGTGCTGCAGTTTTAGATGAGCTGAGACTGTGTTAATCCGGGTGAGGAAGTGAGGATATGTGAGTGTTCATCATAAATCAACTTTAATTTGGCTCCAGCTCCAGAGTTTTCTTATGGGAAAAATTTTTTTTTTTTTTTTTTACAAATTCATCTTAATGAGAAAATTACTTTAATTTTGAAGTGATCATTTTGAGATGGCAGATTTCTGGCTTAAAAGAGTTGGTATAATAGAATTTAATTGGATATTAGAGTATCAGGATGCTTTATCATGTACTGTATTAAAAAATTATTGAAATTTAAATTTAATTTTTTTCTTATTGTCAACAGAATTGGGAATACGGACTTTTAGGGTTTACGAGGTGTTTTAAGCATCCAGATATGCTGTGTGGCTGGATTACTGGTCCTGCAGCCTTAGTTATGGAGCAGATTCTGAGGGGAAAAGGTAGCACAAACGCTGTGTAGCCCCGTTGCGAAGACTTTTGTCAAATAAGTTCCAAATACCAGATGCAGTCTTTTGTAAGCGGTAAGTTGATAATGATGCTTAGTTTACTTCATAGTTCTTAATACCTGTTAATTAAAACTAATAACTTTTGCCATTCGACACTCTAAATTTTCTAAGTTAATATAAGCACTGTTTAAATAAATCACAGAGTTTATTAGCAATTTCTGTGTTGGTATTGACAATGTAAAGAAACACTGTCAGAATAGAAAAATTCATAAAATTTTGCTTAGAGACCAAAATTTTCAAATCTGTAATGAGTACAGTAATGTAAACATAGATACATACACAGTAGTCCCCTGTATCCTCAGGGGTATTTTCCAAGACCTACAGTGGATACCTGAAAAAAGTGGGTAATGGGGAACTCTATTATGTCATTTTTCAATTTATGTACGTACCTATGATGAAGTTTTTGTTGGTAAATTATGCAAAATAAGTCTAGACTTAGCACTTTTTCACTGATGAGAAACATTTCCAGTATCACTATTTTTTGTGCTTTGGCACCCCTTATTAAGCATAATTAAGGGTTATTTTTGGGCCACAGTTAAACCCTGGATAACTGAAGCAGCAGATACCAAATCCATGTATATAATCAGGAGAGCAGGTGATGAAGAGGCATCAGATGAGACTCTGACTTTGTCAGGTTAAGAGGATGGTGTGTGCTGAGGGGAAAATTTTGAATTGGGTTTTTAACACCTGGAAAAATCGACAGTGTCTGTTTTTGAAAGGGGGCTAATTCAAGGCATTTTCTTCTGTTCCTGTCTGTTTCTTTTGATAATCATTCTTGTCTGGGCCTGGGCCATGTGGTGTGGTCAGTATTATGATGTTTAAAACATGAGTCTTGTTGATGCTGCTGTTTCAAACATATTTGTGTTTGTATATGGGCATGAGTAAGTCCCTAGGTACCTTTTCCCCATATTCTTTATCATAACTCCTTCAAGGTATGGTGTAGATGCCTGCCTTTTCTCAAATTAGGCAAATCTTTAAAGAGACGGCAGAAACAGACCGCTCTCAACAGATTTTTTTTGCGACAGGGTCCAGTGACTCTCAAGCTGGTCTTAGTGCCATTAAAAGACAAAGAAGGGAAGTAAAACCCCCGATAGGACCTTGATACCTGAAGTCCTCATGGAAGGGATTCCCTTCCAAACAATAACCTCCCCCTCCTCCCCCTCTCCCCCTCACCGTCTTCCATACGCCAACAAGAGTCTTCAATAAAGTAAAGTGATGTTAAATGTTTATTTATCCATTTTAATTAGTCATTTTATTTATTTTTTCATTGTTTTCTGTATGTAAAACTATAGTTATTCTCTATAAAGTGTATTTTTTGTTAATATTTTTGGGTTTTCTTAAACAGATTAATTAGATTTTCATTATTTCTTATGGGAAATATTGCTTCAGTTTTCATACAATTTGGTTTTCATCAGACTTTCTGAACGAATTAATCACGAAACCAAGGTTCCACTCTGTAGAGTTGAAGAACAACCTTTTCTTATTTATACTTCTTGATATGAAGCCAAGAATTCTGTTAGCTTTATTGCGAACACTTATGCACTGTTGTTTTGGTTTCATATTACTGCTAGCCAGAACTCCTTTAAAACCTTTTTGCAAACAGGAATATTAAAATCTACATTATTTGCTTATATGTGGCAGGTTATTTTCCTGTCCAACATTTAGAGTTTTGGGATTTTGTCTATATTGAATTGCATCTGCCACTTCTCTACTACTGCATCAGTCTATTCAAATCTTCCTGGAGTGCTTAGTGTCCTATTAGAATGAATTGGGAACGGTTATTTTTGGGGTCATCAGCAAATTTGCTTATGTCGCTGTTTATTCCCTCATCTATGTCATTTATGTAAATGTGAACAACAAGGGGCCCAACACTGACCCTGTGGAATACCTCTTGTGACGTGCCCCCATTCTGATTTCTTTCCATTTATGCAAACTCTCTGCGCCTATTTGTCAGCCTTGCCTCTACCCAGGAAAAGATTTCTCTTCCTATTCCGTGTGCCTTAAGTTTCCTCAATTGCCTCTGATGTGGAACTCTATCGAAACCTTACTGAAGTCCTATGCACAATATCACATTCATTACCATGATGTACCTCCTCAAACACCTTAGTGAAGAAAGTTATAAATCATAAGACAGAATGCCCTTTTGTAAAACTGTGCTGAGATTCATTAAACAATTTTTGTCTTTCAAGAGACTATGAATTGCCTTGGCAATTATCGATTCCCTAAATTTTCCTACTATGGGGGTAAGGCTTATTTGGGCAATAGTTCGAAGCTAAGGACCTGTCACCTGCCTCGTAAATAGTATTACATTTGCCATTTTCCACTTGTCTGGCACTATGCCAGTTTTTAGTGATATATTGAAAAGATTAGCCCAATTGTATGCTAGTTCCTCTTTACATTCCTTTAAAACAATTGCAAACAGTTCATCAGGGCCTGGAGATTTGTTAGGTTTTAATTTCTCTATTTGTCTGAGGACTATGTCACTAGTTATCCCAATCTTGCATAGTTTATTATCGTCCTGTTCTACATAATTTATTATTTCTGGAATTTTGCTAGTACGTATCTTCTGAGTAAAAATGAGAGGAAGTAAGTGTTGAAAAGCTCACACATTTCCTTATCACTGTCAAGATCTGACCAGAGTTACTCATAAGTGGGCCTATCTTGTCACATCCTGCTATGTATGATAAACTGTGTAACTATTATGATATACTTGAATAAACTTACACACCATCTTCCCAACCACCCACACATCTTCCCCACCATCCACACTCTTTCCCCAACTTTCGCACTGTCTTCCCCACCATCCAAGGTGTCTTCCCCTTTTCACTATTTATAACTGGTAACCCGGGCATTGCTTTTGGTCACAAAAATCCTCAAAACCATGAAATTCATCTTCACTGACCTTCCATCTCTGTTAAACTATCACTTGGGAAGAGAAAAGTCCCAAAATTTACTGGGGAGTCAGATATTTCTTACTAGTAGGCATGCTGAACAAGGACCACTGAAATGGCATTCCCCCATACACCACTGTCTCCCTGATTTTTTTATACTGCTCACATTACTATGTAGATCCATTCTCTCACATGTAGGTCTACCAGTTTTTTTCCCGCTAGATTTGAAACTGCGAGAATTTTTGTATATTAATACGTCACCAACACTGGCTCGTAAGCCGTAACCCATGCAGCACTGACAGTAAAGGGGGTAAAGATGTTGTTTATGGAGGTAAAAATCCCAAATTTTACCCCTGGGGTCACATCCAGCAAGGCTTCTGGATGAGTACGGGAATTATCAAGAAGGGAAAAGAGCCTTGAATGCAAGGTTTTGCTGTGCAGGTAAAGCTTAACTTCAGGAAAAAAGTGATGCCTAAAACCAGTCAATAAGATTTCCTCTGTCATCCTGCTGACTGGTTTGATTTTCCAAATTATTGGTAAGGTGTTTTATCTACACCTTTCAAAGCAAGAGGATTCTTAGAGCATTAAATAACCATGGGCTTACACTTGAAATCACCTGTGCATTAACCGCAAAGGAGCAAGGTGAAGCGATCCTTTGCTGCCTTGAAGCCCAGTGCACTTTTTTCTTACTGACTGATATAAACTATTGTTGGCTTTTCTTCCAAACAACACTGGTCTTGTCAGTGTTGAACATCTGCTTTGGCTCTAAGCCACCCTCAGAAATAATTTCCTGTAATTCAGCAGGGAAATTACTGGCTGCTGTGTGATCAGCTGAAGCACTTTCATTAGAAAAATTTAATATTATGTAACTTAATATGCAGCTTAAATTTGTAGAATCAGACTTTGCTAAACACACACTCTTTCAGGCCTTCCTTCCTTCCTTATCACAGACTGCTTTAACCCTTAAACTGTCTAAACATAGATCTATGCTTTCACTGCCAGTGTTCCGAATATTTTGATTGTTTTTTTTTTAAATTAACCCTTTCAGGGTCCATCCTGTAGATCTACAACTTTGAAGCCAGGGTCCAAGTCGTAGATCTACGCCAAAATTCTAGTGGCTTCAAATTTAGAGCAAGAAGGCTGGTAGGCCTACATCTATGAGAATGGGTCTGTGTGGTCAGTGTGCACAGTAAACAAAAAATTGGGGCACCCGCATTGCATTGTGGGAAAGCCATCTCAGTATGCTTTGTTCATCATGCCTGGCAGCAAGGAAGCTCTCACTCCCCGGTGAATTCTGACTCTCCTCTTCCCAAGTTATAGTTCTAACACTGATGGAAGTGGATCTGAAGAGGAATTCTGTAGTTTTGAACCATATGGTACATTGCACCATATCATACAATGGTACCATATGGTACATTATACCATATGGTACAATGTACCATATGGTACAATGTACCATATGGTATAATGTACCATATGGTATAATGTACCATATGGTACAGTGTACCATATGGTACATTGTACAGGGACCCTAATGGAAATAAGTCACTTTGGCTGACTTTTATTGGGTTATCCTAGGTTCTCCACACATATGCTGTTATGTATGATAATCAATGTAATTGTATTTGTGTATACCTAAATAAACTTACTTACGATGCCACATGAACTTGAGTAAGTTTATTCAGGTATACACAAGTGCAGTTACATAGATTATCATACATAGCAGCATATGTGTAAAGATCCTAGGATAACCCAAAAAGTCAGGCAAAGTGACTTATTTCCATTAGGGTCCCTGTACCCTATACCATATGCATTTCCAAGGGAACTGAGTACATCCCGTGGCCCTACACCTGGAATAGACAGTGAATGTGACGATGATGTGGTTACAGTGTGAATGGATAGACCACATGCGTCATTAGGTGGTAGTGGTGCCACCAGCATACAGCATGTGTGTGTACAGCATGTGGCACCAGCCCAGACTGGGAGTGAGTCTGGGACCCAAGCTGCTGACTCAGCAGTTCCAGGATGAAGCACATTGTCATCCACTGGTGGAAGTAGACTAATGTGGCTGAAATGTATTTTTTTTTGCAGCAGCAATAATGCTTATACCTTATGTCTATAAGC